AGTGTTGACTCCATCGTGACACTTAACAGTAAATGGCCTTATTCCACTGTCTATTACCGTGATGAAAAGTATGTAAATACATGCCCACAGACAATGTTAGCTATTGTTAGTTTGCACCAGTAATAAACAGTGTTATCTCTTACATAGCCTCTTCACAGGACCACACACACAGAAGTAAGGCCATTGTCATGTGCTGCCATTTTAAACGATCTCATAGAGTACTTTGTCCTGTATTATTATTAATATTATTATCTCCTTTACAGAACTGTGTTCAGCCTGTATAGTTCTCCATATTTATGATACAGATATATATATATATGTATAAATCTCTATATAAATATATTATCTTGTTGTTTCGTATGTGGTGTGAGGAAATCAAATGTGTATTTTTGTACATGCCAATTCTGCTGCTGCTGTCTTTATAGAAAGAGTATTTGCTACCAAATGCACCCTTTGTATATTGTGTACATCTGAATTCCAGCAGGAATTCACAAGAACCAAAATATAATTGATTTCAATAAATGTTGCTCTTGTGAAACTACTTTGCCAGTCAAATGTGAAATTTGTTCACAGGGGTGGTTTCGCGATCATCATTAACATTTATTGCAAACAAATGAACAGCGTGTGGACATGCTCCACCCTTTGATGGCTCTGCTCGGAAACCGAGGCCAGTTTGCTGTAAGGTACACCTTGCTGTAATGGGTTGGATCCACTTTTGCCTTCACAACGTCCTTAATTCTTTGTGTAGCTTTAACAAGCTTCTTGGAAACATCCCCCAGAGATTTTGATACATCACACAATTACTGAAGATTTGTCTGCTGCACCGCCGTGATACACATCTCCTGATCTGGTGGCAGTGGAGGCATTTAAGTCCAGTGAACTCCAAGTAAACTAGTTTGGTTCAGGCTCAGATCATCACAATCACCAGCCTGAACTGTTGATACAAGGCAGGATGGATCCATGCTTTCATGCTGTTCCTGCCAAATTCTGACACTATCATCCTTATGTTGCAACAGAAATCAAGACTCATCAGACCAGGCAACATTTATTTTCCAATCTTCTGTTGTTGCTGCACACATCTCTCGGCTGACTGTAGATCAAGAGGTACAGCAGATCGGTTGGAAGGTTAACCGTTTGATCCCTGGCTGCGGCACACTGCATGCAAGACTTCTTGTGCAAAATACTGAACCCCAAGTTGCTCTCTGATGCATCAAGTGTTAGAGAGAAAGCTCTTAGAAAAAGCAAAGAAAAACATGCTAGCAGGGATCTATGTGAATGGGTGAATCAGCCCATTTACCACAGCTGAACAGGTGTGTCTAATAAAGTGGCAAGTGAGTGTAAGCAATCCAGAACTGCACCAGAATTTAAAATGTCTTCAAATTTCCTGAAATCCAGCTTGGTAGTCATTACTAATCTTACTACAACAGAGGCGAGCATAAAAAAAAGTGTAAGTGTAAATATCCAAATATAAACTGTAAAATACGTCTCTGTCCTGAGACCTAGTGGAAATCTGATTAATAAATTACAAAATATGACAAAAGTGATGTTTAAAAATACTGGTCTATAAAGAGCTCATTACAGCTACATTTAAAGCTAAAAAAAATAACACTTCTATCCATATTTTAATAAGTCAGCTTGTAAAGGAGGTCAGCTAATCAGAGCGCTGCTCAAAAGTACAGCTTAACAGAGCAAGAACATAAGAAAACAATCTGGCCTAATGAGTACGGTTGAATAGTCCAAAAAATGTACCTCATATCGTGTTTAGCATTTAGTTTAAAAAGGTACAATTCCCTAAAGCCAACACTTATTCCAGCTGACCCAGAGTCTAAACTGATTCATGATTCTTCATGCATGACAACACCTTGACAAGAAACGGATCGTATTAAGGCAGCGTAATGTTCACAGGCAAAAATCAAAACATATCAGTGTGCTGTGGCACGACGTGGAAAGCACATGTTTGATTAACGTTTCTACGATCTCCACCACTTTATCAGTTTTGGTGACAAAAGTTTTGCTGGGGCATATTTACTGATTTTCAGAAGGTGAATCACTATGAAAACTTGTTTCGAGTGTGTGGTTGTGGATACGGCCATCACAGCAACCGTGACGTCACCTACTGGTTAGTGAAGTCCCTCTGTGAAGGCTGGAGCTGAGCGACTTTGTGTGGGGTCACTCTGACTGAGGAACTAAAGAACACTGCACGCTCAAGGTCGACGTCTTTTGACTTGCTGGAGGCTTTCATAAGAGTTCAAACTCATTACGAGCATCTTAAAACCAAAGATAAAGGGAACAAGTGTCCATGTTTCCATTCCTTTATTGGGTTTTCTCTTACATGTTATCCAAGTTCTGATCTTTCCCGTTATCACTCCATGAGTTTTTCTTCTCTTTGGACATCTCTGAATCTGTTTGATAACTTGAAATGAAGTTTTTTTTATGAACAATCCCTAGCTACATCATTATATAACCAAGGCTCACAAATCATGGTGGGATTCTTACAAAAATCCCCAGTATGATTCCTACACAGCAGCAGAGGAAGAATTAAGTGGGGCTTTGTGATGGTTTCTCTAACCCTTGTTTATGAGTTTTTGTGAAAACCTTCAACACCGGCAGCCACGGTTGACTCATATATTTACAAGAAAACTTTGTAAGACGTCAACACCAAAAGAAATATAGACAGAATCATCAAAACCTTTCACATCCATACACTTATGGGCCACATGTTTTCCACTAATGCATGATGCGGAGATATACAGGCACAAGCTGATGTTGCTAGGGAGACAGGTTGCACAGCAGGTTGGGAGAATTAGTCAAAACACAGCTTTGTCGGACAAACAGAAAGGTTCAGCTCAGTGTTAGAGGAACTACAGGCAAAAATGGGTTTTCTTACTATGAGTTCTTCAAGAATGAAGTTCTTCATGAGTGGCTGATCTCTCTCAGCCATATTTGACAACCAGCAGGCACCCTAACACCTGCTGGCCCCCTGATTTTTGCAAACTTCTGTTATGGGGGTAACAGAGCAAAATAGAGGAACATGTTCAGAGCAGCAAAATCTTCTAAAGATATATTAAATCAACTTGTTTGATGCTGTGCAAAAGTCTTGAGCGACCCCTCACTGTCTTTATATGTCAGTAGAAAAATGAGAAATGGGTGCATTTATAGCATTTATTGAAATTTGTGCAAACACACATTGACACACAGAGGGTTTTTTTGGGATGTTGGCTGCCTTTTGTTCTGTTTGATCCCGATGATCCCACACTGCTTCAGTAATGTTGCGGTCCAATGTGGAATTCATTGTGTGTTTTTCTATCCAGGTATGCTTTTACTGCAGTGGCGTTGTGTCTGGGATCATTGTCGCACTGAAAGTGAAGCCTTTACCAAGCAGATGCTTCCAGCTTTTATTGCACGGATCAAAATCTGACAGCAATTTTTTTTCTGTGTTTATAATTCAAACTGATCGAGTAGTATTTGAAATTGCCTTTGTTCTTGTTTTTTCCTGCTGCTGCTTTGTATTTTTATGCAATGCTGTTGTTCTCTATAATGGATCGGTCTACAAACTTTTAAGGGCAAGAATGAAGGTATTCTTGAGGTTCGTACTCTATTTTAGGTCTCTTGCTGGTTTTACAGGTGCAGTTTGCACTCTCAGACCTTAAGTTGCTCCCGTAGCAACAGAAATATTTGCTTTTATTTTCAGAAGGATGATAAAGGTTGTTTAACAGCCGCTTGGCTTCTCCATGAGATTCCTCAGCCAACGCCGAACTCGATGCACAGTGAGGTCACGCTTGATCCCAGTCATGAATTTCAGACAAATCAGCAATCAGTATGCTTTCCCTCCCTTTGCTATACTGTTGACCCACTCTGAAAAGCATGCAACTCCCTGGGCAGTAACCCTGGTGTTATTCCCACATATTGTTTTTCTGACACACATTCTCCAGTTTTGGTGAAGCAGTAACGCTGCAGTGAAAAGCAGGCGTGAGTGAACTCCCATTCGCTAAGACCCGCTGGACCCTGAATGTGATGTTGATTAATTTTCTAAATGCAAAATACAGGATCACAACACAACTGCACTAACACAGCAATACAACTGTAGAAACCTTCACAATGTTTTATAGAAGCTGCTGTAAAGAACCAAGCATGTTATGGCATTGTTTCTCCCTAGCTGAAAATCATAAAATAAGATTGTGTGATGGTTTATGGGGCTAGGTAGATGTACACAAGCACAGGAAAACATTTTTGTTTGACATTTGTACATATAAATACAGCAAATTATAGGAGTAGCTTAGAAGAATGTAAGACCTCCGACAAAGCTTAGTTACATAATAGGAGAGAAGATTTATGGGGTCGGATACGGAGGGCTGAAAAAATGTGGCCAAGAGAGCCTGGTAAAAACACCTGGTAAGAAGTCAGTGAGGGAAAGGACTGGATATGTGAAGCCATTTGAGCATATTAATGTGTATTCCCACTGAAATACTGTACGCAAAGCTATT